GGACCCAGCAGTGGCATGAGCAAGGTCCATGTGTCCCCACCCCATCCCACACCCTTACCCCCAGCCCCCAACCAGAAGCTTCAGCCTAGCAACGGCTTCTGGCCTGGTGAACTTGGGGCTGTTCCCCCACTCTCCCTCTGTCCAAAAGTGGAAACTCAGGTAAGACCAGATTGCTTGGGGGGGGGGGAGGATCACCAGCGCAGCAGGCGCCAGCCTGGCCTCGCTGGCATCATGCAGTTCCCAGCTCCATGGCTGGGACCAGCCCCACCCAGCCCTGCCCCCACAGTTCTCAGCTAGTTCTGGTGCCATGAGGTCCCGGCCATGCAGCTAGAAACTGCATGGTGCCAGCTGGGCTGGGCTGGCTCCTGCACCATGTAGTTCCCAGTTGCATGACCAGGACCGTATGGTGCAGCAGGAGCCAGCTGGGAACTGTGGGGGCTGGGTCAGGCTGGGCTGGCTCCTGCTGCATCCTGCAGTTCTGGCCATACAGCCAAAAACTGCATGCTGTCAGAGCAGCAGGTTGGGGGGGGGAGGGGGGGGAGGGAGCAGTGACGTTGGGTAGGAAGGTAGGGAAGTGGCAGGGGAAGGGCGGCAGGCAGGAGAAGTGGTGGTGGCAGTGGCAGCAGGCGGAGTGGCAGCAAGAGGTTAAGTGGGAGCTCAGAGGCAGCTGGGCAGGAGTGCAGGGCCCATGCCAGTGCCTCGAGGCCAGGACTGGTAGGGGCCCAAGACAGGGCAGCAGAAGCATGGAGCCCAAGCTGACAGGGACTCTATGGAGCTGGGTTGGCTCTGCCCCACTCCCTGCTGGCAGCCTGGCCATGTGCAGTCCTGGGGCTTGCCAGGACCACACACCACTGGGGGTCTCTGACTGCCATGGTTCATGAGTGTTCCAAAGCCCCACCACTCCACCAGTGGTGCTGCCACTGGTGTCAGGGGCTGTGCATAGTGATGGGGGGTGTGGGGGAGCGTGTTTGTAGGGTGGGTCCCACATGCACACCCCACCATACACATGCACCTGCACCCCCATGCACATTCCACTGTCACCCCCCACATACTCCAACCACCCTCCTCCTACACATGCCACCCTCCCCCACACACACACACAACCTCCCACAAACCCCATATCTACCTACACCCCACACATACATGCACATGCTCCCCCACCCCACATACATGCACCCATACCCCTCCACAAACCCCATACCCACCCACACACACCTATCCACCCCCCACGAATCCCATACACACATACTCTCCTTCACAACCCACATACACACATACCCACAACCACAGCCCCCCAAAAACCCTATGCCCTCTGCCTACCCATACACCCCACACTTCTCCACATCTCCCCACAATATACAAAAGTAAGACTTCATTTTAAGTTGTTATGCAATTACCTCTATGTACACTATGCAAACACATAAATCAGGACAAAAATATTTTTTGAAATCAAATTGGTGCATGTTGTAGTAGATGCTTGATTTTTAGAATATAATTTGGTTTTTTTCTGGTTCCAAGATGGCAAACCCCCTTGCCAAAAGGAGTACTTCTAGGAGCAAGGGGAAGGACTTCCAGTGGCAAAGGTCAGGGGTTAGGGGGCAGGACTTCCAGTCCCAAGATGGTGACCAGGGGGCAGGGCTGCCATTGCAACCTCAAGAACTCACCAAAATTTGTTAAGCGGCTCTCTAGCCAAAATAATTGCCCACCCCGGTGTTGGGATTTTCCCCATTGATATATTATAGGACTGAGGTCAACATGGCATTTGATCAATTGATCAGCAAAATATTACTTCCCAAACACTCTATCCTCTCCTACCCAACTTGCAGGGAAATTAATTTGGATTTCAGTTTTGTAACCTCTCTCTGCAGTATTTCACCAGAATCCCAGATCTGAAGACTGGTAAACACCGGGAGGTTTTAACTTGATTTTAAATCTAGATTTGAATTTACGAACATGACCCATTCCTGAGGGGGTTTTTTTCACAGTAATCATGGTTCTAGCTGCCCTGCCTCTTTCTTGACATATAGCTGCCGCTACATTAATTTCCATATTACTCTTTCCAAAAATAACATTATGCCATGTAGGGTATAATGCATATAGCTTCATGCCAGCAAGGTTTGAGCACAACAAAAATACAAAGCAACTCACCTTTCAGATCACCATTCCCATCCATGTTGGTGTCCTTAAAAGAACGAGGATAGATCTGATAAATGGGACTGATTTGCCACCAGCCCAGACACTTTGGAGACAGAGCAATAATTGCAATTGTAGCACATACAAGCACTAGCGCAGATGCAATTATAAGCCAAAAGAGGATTTCCCTGGTGACTCTGTACCGTGCCTGACAGGAGAACTTAAGCAAGACTTCCTTAGGCATTCCTGCAAAGGGTTTCAAAACTTCACAAGAGGGCTCCTGTGTACTTTCTGGGTTGATGTCAACAGCACATGTTTTTGGCATCTCTTCTTGGCAACTGGCATTGGTCTCATTTTCATCCACAGTCTTCTCCTGAACAAATCCATTGTTTTCTATCCCTCCTTTCTCATTCAGCTCAACAGAGAAGCTTTTAGTTTCCTCTTCAGCCATTTTTGTTTGGTACGTCTTGTCTGGGGGGGGTCCAGCTGCAGCTGGGAGAGGTGGCAACTTACCTTTGTTCAGGGAAAATGGGCAGTTATGTCATTAGCATGGGGTTTATAATAAACCTGACCAACCAGTCAAAGTTCAGTGAGAAGGAAAGGGCAAAGTGCTCTACGCCTTGGCATAATGGACTTCTCTGATAGTGAATGTCCTCAACTAAATGGTAAAATATTACAAGGAAGTGCAGACTTAATCTTGTCCAACTGGGATGAAAGCTTACTTCTTACATTGACTGATCATAGATGAGGCTTCAGTTGCTCTCACACACTTATTAGCCCTACTAAACTTTTATTGCTTCTCACAACCCTGAAAAGGAGATGGCCTTTGCTTCAACTTCTAGCAAGAAAACATTTGCTTAGCAAGTCCCATATCTCTTGAGTCAGGAACTTCCTGGTGTAAATCACTCTGAATAGTATTAGAGAGCAATTTAATCAGTCATGAGAACAATTTGCTGACACTTCTGGCACAGAAATAATAGAACAGACTAAAGCATGTTATTCCTGAGGAGAATCCAAATGTCCGGATAACTTCAGGACAAGCACAACACATTTTTAGTGATGTTTTTGTTGTCCCAAATGAAATGATGTGAGATACCAGTTAAGGAAGCAGATACGTGTTATCAAGTACAAGGCCCCCCCATGATCCACTGTGGAAGGGAACACCGCTACTCATGTATAGACTCGAGTAAATGGGGCTTGCACAGAAGCAATAGATGGATGATCTATTATTAGGCTAAAGTACACACAACCCTATTCACCACAACAAAATTTGACTGTTCCAGGTTGGGTAATGGAGAATCACCCAAAATGTCCACAAAAGCCACTAAGCCCCCAATCCTGCACAGATTTGCACAGGTGCTTTGTATACTGTGATCCGCTCAAGCCAATAGCCCCACATCAAGCAGGACAGATCCTTGGCTACTGTCATATGTCACAGTATCTTTGAAGTAAATGGAAGACATATATGTTATACTTGTTGAGGATCTGCCCCACCACTTGTAAAGATAAATGCAGGCCTAGGAATACACGATCGGGAGGTCTAAATCCTTCTCGTGTATAGGTTGTTGGTTTTAGCCTCTCAATAAGGCAGCTTTCATTGTTATAATAGAAGTAAAAGAAGTGTTTATAAATATCCATTGAATTTGCAGCCAAACTGATGCAGTGCGGAGGTTTACAATCTAGTGGCAAGTATTTAGTGTGTAATGCTGATAATTTTCTTCTGTGATTTCTCAGTCAGACCTGAGGGAAAAAATGAAGTACTTTTTATTTGGAAATTGTAATCCTTCCCTTCCTTTTTCATTACCTAGTCCTAATGTGATGCCAGAATCATTCCAACTGTTCAAGCTGAGAGGGATGAAGCAGACAACCACTTAACAGCTGGAAATTTGAGAGTCATTTGAAATATTTTCAGGGTTTCTTATGCAATAGGGGAAAGTGATGGATTTTAACACACAGGAAATTAATTAAAATAAATTCCCTTACTAGTATTTTACAGAACCCAGTATCCTTACAATCCTTACAGACAAGAGTCTGTAAAAGTTTCCATGATTTCCATTTTATAAGTCTGAGATACTATTTTTTATCATGTTTTCTGTGAAACATTAAATAGTCTCAATTTACCCCTAGGCTTCATTACTCCTTCCTCTAATACCAGTTACATTTTTCCCCAAACAGACTGAGAAAGGGAAAGGAAGAATTTACCCTGTCAACCATTTATCCCTGCTCTCTATCAGTCCCACTTCTTCCTGCCTGCCATTGGCCCACGAAAGGCTCCTTTGAATGAGAAAAGACAACGAGAGCCTGTTAGTGGGAGACACAACTGAAGTGTCTCGGAGGGAAGCTGCTTGGTAGAACCTGGCTTTTTCACTAGAGCTCTCCTTACTAGTAAATGAAAGCTCTTAATCTACTTCAGCTGTCTCCCAGAGTGCATCCCTAGCCTAGAAAGAAACCCCCATTCACAGGTATCACTGATCCCAGGCTTTTTCAACATGTCCGTCATAGAAAAAATCCTTGCGGCTATGCCCACCACTCCAGTAGATGATGGGCAACTATTATATATGTCTAGACTCGTAGGCAGATAAGGAAGAGGAATGGCTCAAGGAACATAAAAAGGGCCTAGTCACCAGAATGGGTTATCAAAGCAGATCAGAACACACATTAGCAAAACCTGCCATAAACAAGGTCACCTTGGTTCAATTAGGGGCTAGAACTAGAAAGGTAATACTAGCCTAGGTTAGCCAAGACAACGTATTGTTCCATCTCCCATA